TCCAAATTTTCTTGACCTCGGCACTAGTTGGAGGTGAGTGGTCAGCTTCACGCCCCGGCCGCTTTACCCCCGGGGAAAGAGCCCCCGGTACCCATTGGATAGGAGGTTGGATGGACCCCAGAGCCGGTCTGGACGATTTGGAGAAGTTAAAATTCTTGACCCTACCGGGACTCGAACTCCGACCCTTCACAGTCGTCCAGCCCGTATAATAAAATTTGGCTTAACCGGGTTTTCGATTAACCGTGACTTCCATCCCCACCATTAGCCCGGATAATCGAGAGTTGACTGTATTCTTTTTTGAATTATGAAAATTTGGTCACTATTAGTTGAATTACCCCAGAATATTATACCATATGTTAATATGTATTTGCCTGATGATGGCTTTAATTGCAAAAAATGTAGCTTGAGCCAGTCTTGGCCTTGACCTTGATATTGTTGTGTTGTGACAGATTTTAGTAAAGAAATTATATATGATAACACAACAGGATGCACGAAATGAAAACTTTATATGCACTTCTGTTCTCTTCCATGTATGCTGCATGGCTTTCTGATTTCATCATTTCTCATTTTAATAACATTTGATGAAGAGTAGAAATTATGAAGCTCATCATGCAGTTTTCCCAGCCTCCCATTATTTGAATCCTTTCTGGTCTGTGTGTTTTCCTTAGCATCCTGCTCTCTCACAACCTTAGTCCTTATTTTTCGTTTGATGTGAGAGACAGTTTTCACACCCATACAAAACTAGTGGCAATATTATAGTTGAATGTTTTAATCTTAACATTTTTGGATAGCAGAGAAGAAAACAGAATATTCCAAACTCAGTGTTAGCCAGCATTCTCCGAATTTAATCTGCTTATAATTTCTTCATGAATGCAATTTTGAATTTTTAGCATTGTTCCCATATGTTTTAATTTTGTCACATTTTAAAATGATCTGTTAGCTGCATTTATGTTATGATTAAATTTGAGGATATGTGGTAAGATTTATTATAAAATATTTCTACGCATATAATATTTAATGCTTTTACTATTTTAAATTATATGCAAGTTATAGACAGATGTACAGTGGAAATTCATTATAGTGAGAATTTATAACAACATGAAATAATGACAGTATAATAAATACTCGTAAGTGGTTTGTAGCAAGGAAATGTAAACGTCTCTCCACAACTCACGCAGCAAATATCTGCAGTGATTGAGGTTAGCTTTTTCTAACAGACCCAAATGAGTATGTCTCTGCCACCCTTTCACCTGAGAACAAACAGAACCAGTTTCAAGCATTGTGTGGTGGACAGAGTTCAAAAGCCAGTAATCCCATGTGCTTAACATAATCATCAGAACCCTTTAGAATCTGCTTGTTATAGGCCGTACTCATTACATCAGACGTCCGTTGTATCTGATTCTTTTCCTGGAATTAATTCAGATCATGAGAAACCTCTGTAAGGTTATTTGAATGTACAGCAGGCATGTTTTATCCAGAAATATAATGGTTGAAGAGTGAATGTATCTAAATATGTGTTTTATTTCTACATTTCTTTCAGATTTCACAGGAAGAGTTTGATGACCAATTTGATGCTAAGAACAGAGAAAATAGCTGCGAGAGCTCTGAGTGATCAGTGGTGAACTGTTACATGGCTTCAGAAGTAATCCACGGTGGATTATTGAACTGTAGGTGAAGTCCAGTGAGGTGTTTTTGAGGACCCTTCATATTTGTGAACTATTCAGGTTAATGTCATATGGCCCCTAGTGAGGTCCATGGAAATTCAGACTGTCACTGGAACTGACTAACTTCCAGCCTAAATGCATTATGTATAAAACTTACAAAGATTACAATAGATGTTGGAAATGATCTCCTGGTTTCTCAAACATTCATGGCACCTTTGTAAAATGTGTTATGTCTGCATGTTGAATTTCTTCTTGTGAAACAAAGTAAGGTCTACTTCAGATGTTTTCTTCAGTTGTGTTAGTGTTTGATCTGTAAACTTATTGCTTTAAAGTTTCCCAAAAATAAAGGTTACACAGATTGAGATTGGGGGAGAATGCTAACCACAGACCACTACCAGGGATTACCTAAGAGAATGCTCCAGTCCAGTTCAAAGAACATGTCAGCCTATTTGTGGTTGTACTTTTATAGCATGAAAAATATTCCAAAGGAAAGAGGCCTTTAGAGTGATGGGACACGGGCAGACCAATTGCGGTGTTTAATGCTTGGAATTTCTGGCAAAATTATACAAAGAATATAAAAAGTGATGGATTATTAGATTTCTGTAATCTTTTGGTTGAACAGGTAAGTGCACAGCAGTGACACTGTAGACTTCTGTTAAGAGTTGGTTTAAATCTCAGCTGGGACACTGGCTGTCCTGATTAAGATTTTTTTTTTCCCCCCCCTGAGTCCTTCTAAACAAATGTCAGGATGGTACTTTAATTAGGCTATGACTGTTTTATTCCAAATACTTCCAATTCATTCACCAGTCATCCTACCATTTAACATTTAATGCTATACAACCTGAGGTACTGATAGCATGACAACATAAACCTGGAAAGAGGAACAACTGTATAATCTTCTGCCAGGGAGTCAGATTATTCCTTGCAAGAAAATAATCTTTCATTTATTATAATGATAAATTTATGTTGTAGTAAACAGCGTCATGTTATAAAGAGATAGGGCTTAAAGAAATACATTTAAAAACTCATATCTTTGTTATGATTCATTTACATGAATAAATAATGCTTGTCATGTTCTGTGTTTGTCTAGTGGAGCTAGATATGGTGTGTGTGGATCATCCTGGCCTCTGTCCACATAGGCAAGACTGTAGAATCTATTTCTAAGGCACAGGGCAACCATGGGGTGGATTTTGGTACATCAGCTATAGGGTAGACATGTGAATGATGAACTGCAGAGAGGCCCCACAACTTATTGTTGGGTTTGATTTGTTTCATTCTGGTCCGTCACACTAACAATTACAAATATAAATCACTCCGTCCAATGTGACCTGTAAGTTTTTTACTACATGAAAACTTAACACCCTTACATGTTTCGGTCTCTGTGGACCATCTTCAGAGGGCAATGATGTTTGCCCTCTGAAGATGGTCCACAGAGACTGAAACATGTAAGGGTGTTAAGTTTTCATGTAGTAAAAAACTTACAGGTCACATTGGACGGAGTGATTTATATTTGTTATTGTTGGCTCTGAACCAGGAATGAAGACCTGGTATTCTGCACCCTTCCAAAGTTTTGTCTTCAGTTGCAGTCTGTGAGCAAAAAAATCAACACACGGAGGTGACTGGGGATCACACTTAGAACTGTGTTTGATTTGAGTTTCTCACTCTGGTGTCTATGAAGAACACTGTCTTCTTGGATCTGTTGGGTTCAAGTTTGTTCAAAATGTTAATTTCTGCTAGACCTCAAGGTGTTACATCCCAGAAGATCGTACTCTCTGAACTCGGAACCCTATGAATGAGTGTCCAAGCTCACCAGGTCTTCTGTAAATAAGAAACATTTGAAATATAATGTATGAAGATGTATGTACATTGTATATTAAGAATGGTATGTATATATTGTAATTTTTAACACTGAGATGTTCTGATCAGATGTGATTGTTGTATGTTTCATATGACATTAAATATGCTTTGTGTTAAATAAATATGAAAGCTAGTGATCACATGCAGTAATTATTGCCTGTTCAGTAACTGACACCATAGCAGTTCCTATTCTGGTGGTGAAGTTATTTCAGCTTATTTTATGAGAGAAATTTAATGTTGTGCAAATGTAAACGTATGTTAATATAAGAAAAAGCTGGTTCCATGTATGATATGAGAACATCATAGCTTTGACAGTTAAGATTTTTGGATGTGGCGGAGTTTACAGTGTACTTATGTAAGCTGTCATTCCCAATTGTTAGTTTGAAAATATTTACCCTGTATATTTCAACACTGGAATTTCCTAACAAAATTTTTGTTATGATATTTTGGAAAGTTTATCAGATACATGTTTAGTTTGTAATAGAAGCTGCCCTGCATGTTGTCAATTTTATCCAATGATAGGGCATGAACATTCAGAACAGTGATATCATACCAGCACCCTCTTAGTATTGTCGCGTATATGAGTGACCTGTGCAGAGTTTGAATTGAAGTTTGGATTTATTAACGACCTATAACAACATCTCGAAGTGGATCGCGTAGAGAACGCCATTTCCAACAGTTCCACTGTGTTGCTCCTGAACTTTATGCCATGGGAACCTGTATGTGTGTCTGTCACTACCTAGTAATGGGTGTACACATTATAGTATTATGTATGACATCCTATCACTAACCAACTCCACCCGCTTAACTGCCTATATGATTCTCATGTATGAAAGAAAAACCTGTACCTTGTTCATGATTCTCATTGCCCTTTCCATAGAAAAATATGTTTGCCTGCTGGTGCGGTGCCACCTCTGTCCCATCTAACATACTGTACTCCCACTAAATCTTACTTATATTTTGAGATTTCTTCCGCCACATCCCTGAGAGAAACCTGCCCAATATGTACTTCTAACATTCCGAGTACCAAATCACGCATCCATTTTGTTTCGCTTAGGTCGTTTATTCAAGGAATCCGTCCAGGCCCAATGCTTCTTGTGATCATTCGTAACAGGATTATTTTTTTCAGTGAGGACATATTTGTCTCACCCAAGCTCTAAGCTGGAGGACCGCCCCTTGTAGGCTGTTTGTTTCTGCTTATTCAATATATTCGCAGCTACGCTCCATATAGAAGCCGTTTCTTCCATCCGCAGCCTGAGGACGCTCCATGCCGTGGTGACAAGAGACCAATTTAACATGGGAAATACCATATTACAGTTTCAAATTATAATTTTCCAGCATTAAATTAAAAATTGTTTCTGCTGTTGGGAAGCCGTTGCTATCGACGGCACTGAAGGTTGTAGTCACGGATTATTAGTTCGTATTTATTAATTCGTGGTGCAGAACACCCCAAGATTTTTCTTTTGTTATCCGTGATGTCCGCGAAAGGAATAATGTTCTGCCCGCACCTATATAATCCTTGATAATACATGATCTGTGATGTGCTGGAAGGTCGCTGAATATTTTTCAAGTTTTCTGGCAATGTTCAATGTATTGATACTTTTAATGTCTGCTTTACAAAGTATTAATTTAGTTCAGTGTCCTCGTTTGTATATAGTGTTTAATGAATTAAACTTACGCGTTTTTTGTCCTGCATAGTTACAGACGAAAACCATACGGGGTAGTGTGTAAATATATGGAACACGTGTTTGATTGTGTGTTAAGTAATACATAACTGGTGTTCTGTGTTGTATTACAATTCGCGTGGATTAGATTGTGGGTGCTAAGTCCATAAGCCGCTAGTTATGGGTAGGAAGGCCAAATTTTCAGAGGGTACTAAAGTGAAGAAGGGTCCGGGCCGGAAAGCGAAGAAACAGAAGGATCCAGCAATTCCCAGTCATCTCATTGGTAAGTTATTTATTTGTCATGTTCGATTTTAAGTATAATCGTAGACTTAAGCAGTGTGTAGCAATTTTCGACAATACAGCTTTTCCGCACTTTTATGCCTTTTGTTGCACAGATGGTTCCAAAATAAAAAAACCGTTGTCACGCAGGCAGAAACAACGCGCGCTGAAGAGAGCAAAGAAGAATGCAGATTTTCTAGAGAAGAGAAACACGTCAAAGCAACGACAGTTTCCAAAAGAAACGGGTAAGGAATGTTTTTGTATCCTGTACTTGCTATGTCCTGTTGCAGGGTTCAGATATTCTTTGAAAGTTCTGTTCACCTTTGATATGATCTTCTTTAGTCCCACCAAATGCAACTTATGCTGTGCAATTTGCTACTGTTTCCAATGAACTGACCAGTAGACTCTTTATGTCTTGTGTGCACCATGTCTTGAAATGTTCAGTTAGGTGATGTAGTTTCAGTGTAGGTGCCTAAGAAATTAACGTGAGTATTCCAGTTTAACTGATACATGTTTATGATCTCGTCTAGGTATTTAAGACAGTTATATCTTTCAATTTTAGCGCTCTCACTTCACTGTCTCTGTGCAACTTCACATATATTAAAATTCACACATTTAAGGCTCTTGGTCTCTGTTATTTATTTAACACTACATGTTTCGGCCTAACTGGCCATCATCATGCGTATAAGATTATAGATGAAATCTTCTATTCTGTTGTTATACTGTTTTATTTTGTGTTCAGCAAGTAATGTAATGCACTCAAAACATTTTTAAGTTATTTTTTTTAGATTATCATGCCATGATTATTTCTGTCATGCACACATGTTGTGGGTCTGGTGTATGTTTTTTAGTGCATAGCTACACACAGCACACAAGAGAGAAACCAGCACACAAAAAACATCCACCAGACCCACAACATGTGTGCACAACAGAAGTAACCATGGCATGATAATTAAAAAAATAACTTAAAATGTTTTATGAGTGCATTACATTACTCATTGAATGCAAAATACAACAGTGTAACGAGAGCAGCAGTGTTCATCTCCAGTCTTATACGTACACCTGGTGATGGTCAGTTAGGCTGAAGCATGTAGTGTTAAATAAGAAGCAACAAAGAATCTCTGAAGTGTGAATTTTAATATATGCAAAGCGCACTGAGGCAGTGAAGTGAGAGTGCTAAAATTGGAATACATGGTGCAGCAGGATGCTACAATACAATATCAGATACATCTTTATTGGTGTATTTAATAATGTTATGTAGACTGCAGATGTTATGCAATATGAAATGAGAATTGACAAGATGATTGTAAGTAGAAAATTGGTAATGATGTGGGAGCACATGGCCATTGGCTTCTGTGGGTATGAACACAGCATTTGCTGGAAGAACTGAGGTAAATCAGAAAGAAATACCCCAAGGTTCTATTTCCTTTGACCAAGCTTCAAATTGATGACCTCCAGAATGCAAACAAACACTCTCGTATATGTGTTCTTTATTTCAGATGATTCTCACAACTCTAGTATTTTTACTGAAGGGGAGCATGATCGTGGGATCCTAGGATTTACTGATGACAATCAGTCATGGCTTAAGCCAGTCACTAAGAAGAAGAAAGGGGAGCAGTTTCTGGGATCCGATGGGGAAGAGGCACAGCCAGATTCAGAAGGAAGTATTATTGGAGAAGAAACAATGTCAGATTCAGAAGGAAGTGTTGTTGGAGAAACACAGTCAGGTTCAGAAGGAAGTGTTGTTGGAGAAGAAACAATGTCAGATTCAGAAGGAAGTGTTGTTGGAGAAACACAGTCAGGTTCAGAAGGAAGTGTTGTTGGAGAAGAAGCAATGTCAGATTCAGAAGGAAGTGTTGTTGGAGAAGAAGCACGAGATTCAGAAGGAAGTGTTGGAGAAGAGGTGCAGACAGACTCTGAAGGAAGTGCTGCTGGAGAAGGGCATTCAGGCTCAGAAGGAAGTGTTGAAGGTGAAGGGGGTCATCAGGAAGAAATGAATTTGGATGAGGATGAAAATTACAAAGTAAGAAAGTTATTAACCCATTTGATTTTTACTGCCTGGCCTACAGAATTATTTTTACCTGTGTTTAATAAGTATGTATGAAATTCAGTTCACTTATATTTAGAAGTGTTTTTTGTTTGATATGAGGAATTCTGCACTGTAGTGATGATAAACTTTTAGTGCAATTTAGTAGGTAGTCTTCAGAACAGTAAAACAGAGTAGATAATGAAAAGTTCAGTCCAGTGTGACATACGAGTTTACAACACTTCAGTTCTCATTCACCTTACATGTTTTGATTCAAAAGAATCATCTGCAGAGGCGCACCACTACGATAAAGAAAGACTGCCACATAAGATATTTTAACAATATGCACTTTAGATATGACTAATGCTCTCTATATAAATTTTGTTATCACGGTTGGTTTTGATGTTTGTCTTAGGCACTCACAATGGCACTTCTACAAACGACACAGCACACACGTGAACTACGCTACTAATAATAAGAACATAAAATCAAGAGAAATAAAAGACATCTCCCACCATCAGGAGGAAAACAACGTGACCCAATGTCGGCTCAAGATATTTTAATATAATAACTATTTTACATGAAATTTTAATACAATTTTAAACATATTGGGAGTCTACTGCATGGAGAAGTGAACACAGTATTGCGTGCAGTGGAAAACCCCAGTCAGAATAACCAGTAAATCTACACTTCAAGAAGCGCCATTGTGAGTGCCTAAGACAAACATCAAAACCAACCGTGATAACAAAATTTATATAGAGAGCATTAGTCATATCTAAAGTGCATATTGTTAAAATATCTTATGTGACAGTGTTTCCTTATCGTAGTGGTGCGCCTCTGAAGATGATTCTTTTGGATCGAAACATGTAAGGTGAATGAGGACTGAGGTGTTGTAAACTTGTATGTCACAATGGACTGAACTTTTCATTATCTACTCTGTAATTAATAGTGTGACGGACCAAAATGAGACAAGTTAAAAACAGTAAAACACTGTGCAATATCACTTTTCCACACCAGTACACAATGGCCCTCCCTTTTTGGTGTTTGTACACATGGCACATCTTTGTTGACTTGATTTCTTATAAGTTGGTGGTATATTATTGATGAAATGCCTTTCATTGAGAAACATCACTGTGTTATGAGATGAGTTTTTTTTTAGGGGGTGGGTCAACCCTTTTTCAGGTTAACATGATTGAATGCTGTATTACTCCTGTTACACTCTCAATTTTATGATCACAGTTCTTGTCCTATGGAATAATGCTGGTAGAATTTTGCAAGTGCTTTCTAGTAGTATATATGCTGTGCTGCATGTATTATTTTTATAAATGTAGTGACCACTGCTATAAAGCTGTGAAGTTTAAAAGAAACTGACAGATTTATTCTCTATGTAAGCTTTCATTGCAAGAGCATGTGGTTAAGCCTTTTTGGGTGATCAGCAACTTCAGTGTTGAGCTGGTGTGTGACATTTCAGACTGTCTCTGTCTCCACCATCGGGGTTTGATGTGATGAGTGTTATGGTTTTGTGAGCTGTATTTATACTTAAGAGCTGTTATATGGTTCATGCTGGGCTGTTCTCAGGACAGGGGGAAAATCAAGATGGTCAGTGATGTCCTCTTCGGGCACAAACCATGTCTAATGTTTCCTTTTAATTCTCTAGTGTTTTATTATGTTCGTGGCCAGAGATCATGAACAATAGCTCAGAGGAAATCCCTTATCTCTGTTAAAAGTTATTTGAATGTATCTGGATCTTAATGTCCACCGGAGTCCATGTAACCTGTTGTTTTTGACAGTACTATGGCATCCTAGAAATTTATTCAGTGTTCTGCCACTAGCAACTGATATGGTCACTATAGTCCCATCCACATGTCTTACACTTTGTCTTGATGGCACAGCCTGTGTCTCCAATGTATATCTTGCCGCATTCTCACAGGATACAGTGCACTCCACATTCATAGCTGTTTGCCCGATAAGACTCATTGCAGATATATTCTCTTTTAGAGCCCATCTTGAATATTGTTTTTGTTAACTACAACTGGACTGCTTTTGTGAGATTCCAGAAGGTGAAAACTGTGGTATTGATTTCTCATAAAGGCTGTTGCCAGATGATGGAAAAATAACGTATTGAACTTCCCAGGTGGAAGGACTGGATGAAATGAACGAGGCTGATGAAGATGAAGTAAATAATGAATTTGAGGATGCTGACTGGGATGGAGTAGATAGTGATGAAGTGAGTGATCAAGAAGATGGTGATAATAGTCACAGCAGTAAGAGATACAGTGATGAAGATCATGAAGATGACCTGCTGCCTATTGAGAAGGCAGCCAAGAAACTTAGGAAAAAACAAAAACAGGAGGAGTAAGTTATTGAAATTTTAATAAAATAATGATTGTCTAGAACCTGTCATGAATGAGATTGGAATGTATGTATTTAGCATACTATACAAGTATATTAGTGGCCTTGAAAATATTGTCACATGATTGAGTGACTATAGACAGGTTTTCGATTGGTGATAAAATGTATTGGACTCTTTGATACAGTGCATGACTCTACTTTACAACTCACTATTATGCACACGGTTCTAATCCTGCCCCCATTCAAAGTTTATTTCTGTTAATTAGGCTTATGTAGTTTCCATCCTGCCCATTCATGCTGTATTTCTGTTTCTGTACTTATACTTAAACTATACCACTTTGCATCTTTCTAATTGCTCTAACAATTTCTGAACGCTTCACCACTGTATTTGTAACAGTGTAAATTTCTTTAACTCTTGCCGACTGACATATGATACATCTTGTGGAAGACACTTGTTCAGATCATTATGGAGTGGCTGAATATGTCATTTAGTTAGTGACTGGCTATGGACTGGATGACTGAGGGGCCAGAGTTTGAGTCTCAGTAGGGTCAAGAATTTCCTCTTAACATTGTCCAGACCAGCTCTGGGGTCCACCCAACCTCATATCCAATGGGTTCTGGGGGCTCTTTCACTGTGGGGGTAAATTGGACGGGGCCTGAAGTTGACCACTTACCTCCACTTAGTGCCAAGGTCAAGAAAATGTGGATCTATACATACACTCCTCCATACTCCATGGCATAGTTCTTAATTAATTAAGCACAGGGACAACTTTACTTTATTATGCACACTAGTGTCCAAAGTCACATATTTACTAGCCATTGCTTGATAGCATCTTCCAACGGCAGACCTTTCCCTTCCTCTGGGTTCCTGAACTATCCATAGCCTCAGCTGCCAGCTTCTCAGAATAATGGCTCACAATGACTGAACCTCAGCAGTTCTCTAAATCACTGACTGACTGACTAACTCACCAACCAACCAACACCACTCCACTGACTGAACTAAACTCCTCACTAATTGTCTTGCTTATAACATCTTGGCATGGATCAAAGGGAAAACGTCATTCCTCTGTTGCTGTTTACGTTCCATTGTCTACTTGTTTGTTCTGTGGTCATTGCATAGCAACAGGTCTACATGCCACAGTATAAAAAAATTAGTTCTTGCACATATTCTTAGAGGAGGTATCCAAAAACTCTGAATTGAAGATTATGATTAGGGAACAAAAATCTATTACTGAAGCCATATCTGAGAGAGATCATTCAGCATTATATGGAATTTATTACTCTTATATGTATTGAAATAACAACACAAAAAAAAAGACGATTTTAAACTAGCTACACACTGATAGAACTACAATTTATGAAATGTATAACTGTGGATCTAAATACAAACTTGGGTCTAAAAAATTAAATGTTTAAATTTACAATCTAAATAAAATACAATAAAACGAAATCAGGTGAAATTATGTGTTTTTTGAACGAGTGAACTGTAGAGTAATAGTCATGTTGTCATTGGCCACCTCATATTTCATAACCAGATACAAAAATAATAGACAGAAAGGAAGAAACATTTTAAGAAAATTCAAAATGCTGGTATTGTCAGTGTGATGCCTAGAATCCAGTCATTTTTATTTCACATTCTAAACCATATCAAAGTTTATATGCTTTAGTTCTAGATGTAAGTAAAGAGATAGGATATTTGATGTCCTCTTATTCTATGCATCACCCCACAGTGATGATACAATTAGATATTTAACAGTGAAAGTCATAATTTCCATATTATCAAGTAGTTTTTCAGTTGCCTGTAATTTTCAAAATGATGGGCTTTGTGCATTGATTATTTTGATCAGTGTTTCTCAACTGGCAGGCCACGGTCTGTTACCGGCCCTCTTATAAAAAAAATAATTGCTGGGCCTCGGCATGACAAAGGTTGAGAACCACTGATTTAGATACTTTCATTGGCTTGTGACCTTCAGCTGGTATTTGTGGGTTTGTGATTTAGACATGTCAAAGTCAGTCATGTATGGAACTTGTATGGAGGAAACAAACTGTATGCACCATATGGGTCAGAAAAATCATGAAAAGAGGCACTGGGCACTCCAAGACATGGATAGAAGTATAATACTGTTGTATGTTTCCAGTCTCAATGAGCAAAACATTAATATTAACAAAGATCTGTCAACCAAAAATACATATGTTTAAATGAAAAGCAGCATTTATAAGTAACAAGCATATATAGACATAAAAATATGTTAAACGTTGCACTTTGATGTATTTATGAAGACGGTGATATCTTGTTTTTGTGTAGGAAGCTTGCAGAAGAAGAGCTGAAGATGAATGTGGCTGACCGGGATGTGTTTACATTTCCTTCAGAAAGTGAATTGAAAGAACCATTAGGTCTTCAAGAGGTTCAGAGAAGAATAAGGGATGTAGTAGCTGTATTGTCAGACTTTAACAAACTTCGAGACAAGGACAGGTATGCATTATTTCCCACTGAGTGCTTTAGACTTACATCAACACCTTCCTCTCCTGTACATAGCAGAACATAGTAGAATTAAAAGACCTGATCCTTTTTACCATAATAAAACACATTATAAGTCTAATTTCAGATATACATACCTGAAACAAGGCCATGCCATAGCTCAGGTGGTTAGTTGTCGGCTTCCCACTGCAGCGGCCTTGGTTTGAGCCCAGGTCAAGTCATGTGGTATTTGTAGTGGACAAAATGGCACTGGGGCAGGTTTTCTCCCAAGTACTTTGGTTTTCCCTGTCAATTTTCATTCCACCAGTTACTGTACAATCACCATCATCTACCATCTGGGGCTGGTAACATATGCCAGTAGTGGCTGCAGTACCAAGTGGACTCAGTCTCACTCCACTAAGAATAATGAAAAAAATACCTGAAAAGGATTTGGCATATCACACTACACTTAGCAGTTTTAAATGGAATGGGCATGATGCTAAAGTTACTGAGAATTAAGCAAGGGAAGGGGGCCTGAATTTGACATATGAAGTAATTAGATTGATGTTTATGTACGGCAGTTGGCAGCATTTGTGAACTGGCACATGTTGGAATACGTGACAGCATGATCAACTTTATGTCAAACTGTTCTTTGGATTCTTTGTTGCTACAGACTTTTTAATTGTATGAATGTTTACGTTCACTGTTTAATAACTAGGAAAGTAATTATGGTCTGTGTTGAAGCTAGAAAGAGCTATAATGTAAATACATGTTTCAGCAATCTATTCTGTATATAGTTTTCACTAGTATACATTCTCATTCTGTTAAAATTGTCACATTAACACTATATTTGTAATTATTAAGACATGAAAAAATGTTTCTCACAGATATAGAAAATGTTTATTATTCTATGTAAAATTTCATGTGTCAAACTCCAATCGTTTATTGTTATCACCATAAAATAGAAAGCTAAATACTGATATGGATTTCATGCAGCTGCCATGTTGATGTTTTACATTTACAAAAGAAATGACCTTGACAAAAGTTGTGTATTTTTTGAAGATCTATTGCCACACAGTATTTTGGGCTTGTACATTAAACTCTCTGTAACATCTTGAAGGGTGTGTCATTCTCTGATAGTGCCATAGATCATTGCATCATCATTAGTGAGGTGCTAAACTCTGTTTTCAACATATGGGAATCATAGTAACCATACTGGAAATCTTGTTGTACACACACGCTCGTGCATGAGTACCAAACTGTTTGCCTTATCTCACACGTTTTTTGGTTGCTATTCTATTTCATCATATTCATCCTTTCTAATATTAGGCCAGTTTGGCATATAAGGGGTGTTTCCATCTTTTTGTGGTCTTGAACATTTCCTTCTCTTATCATCTTGTTTCAGGACTGTAAATGATCATCACAGAAACTTTTGAATTTGATTAGGTTCTTCATACTTCAATAACACCTTAACCATAAATGAAAACAGCTTCTTCATTCAGTATTTTTGAACAGTACTAAATAAGTGAAGCAGGCAATTCTGTATTATGCCAGTGTTTTGCCACTGACTCTTGTCCAGTCCTGTGCTCTCTCCTTTTTGGAGGTAGTTAATATATGAAATAATTATTAATTGCATGCACTTTATTTATTCTTAAGGTCCCGCTCTGAATATCTTGAGTTACTTCAGAAAGACTTGTGTACATACTATAGTTACAACAAATTCTTGATGGAACGATTGATACAGTTGTTTCCATTATCTGAGCTGATGGAATTCCTTGAAGCTAGTGAAGTGCAGCGGCCACTCACCATCAGAACAAACAGTCTCAAAACTCGAAGAAGAGATCTTGCACAGGTATTTATACTCATACACTTAGTTTTCACTAATGACAAATGTACAGTACTTCCCAGAATGTCACAGCCTGCAAGAAGAAAGTAGAACTCACCAATTTCTTAACCATGTTACTGGCTCACCATTCAGATGCTCCTTCCTCAAATGTAAGATAAGATTGTGATAGTTCATGATAAAGATGTGCATACAGTTACTTTTCTCCACTGTTTTCATTGTCATAGTCTGGGCTCAGATGATCACCTAAAGCTTATGCACAAAAAGGTCAGGAATCACTGGGCTAGATGAGTGAAAGAGAATATAATGAAGGATGCTCAGGAGGGAAGCGTGACAGCTTTAGTGAGATGTGGGGAAGATTGGTCCAGGAATGTATTTTCAGCCTGTATAGTAACACTGTTCTCAATCATTGTACAAGTTCACTATCTTCAGATTGTAGTTTTACCATAAAGTACATGTGAACTTTGACCGCTTCCTTGGTCTAGTGGTCAGAGATCCTGGGTTTGATTCACGGCGCTACTATATTTTCTGAGAAGTAGTGGGTCTAGAACGGGCTCCACTCAGCCTTGTGAGGATAATTGAGGAACTACTTGAATGGAGAAGTAGCGGCTCCAGTCTAGAAAGCCAAAATTAATGGCCGTGGGAATCTGTTGCACTGACCACATGACACCCTCTATCTACAGAAGTTGGCACTAACTTTGTCAACAAGTGGCAGTCCCTCAGTTGGTATAGTTCACTTGCGGACTAAAAGCCACTGAGTTTTTACTTGTGAAATTCATAATTATATAATTGCATAAATATTGTTTTTTTTTCAGGCCCTTATAAACAGGGGCGTGAACTTGGATCCAGTTGGCAACTGGACTAAAGTTGGTTTGGTTGTTTATTCTTCAACAGTCCCTATTGGGGCCACACCAGAATACCTTGCTGGGCATTATATAATTCAGGGTGCATCAAGCTTGCTTCCAGTTATGGCCCTTGCCCCACAAGAGAATGAGAGAATTCTGGATATGTGTGCTGCGCCTGGAGGAAAATCATCACACATTGGTTTGTATGTTTGTTTAGAGTTTAATGGTTAATGTCAGTGGGAAATGATTGTATGAAGCCCTCTCCTTCAAATTTGCTGCTTGATCACCAACTCTTAGACAGCTGTCCTCTTGCAGGGTGAGTTGATTTTGACTGATTATTCACTTCATAGCCCTAAGGAACTCCCTTTATATTTGAAGTGTGAAGAGAGGTCACTGATGTATTTTTATGTATTATCCCATTATATGTCAAAAGGACTGTGAAAATCTGTAAAACGTTCATACATATTATCTGACTCATTGTAGAAATAGGAAGTGCATATTTTTCACTATGAGATGGCACTTTATTTAGTCACCAATGCTTTGAAGTTGATATGCAACTGAATGTGAGCACCATTTGCTCAAACAGTACTCAAAAAATTTGCTGATGTATTATCTCTTTCAGTTGTAATTTTTAGTACTATCTAAACAGATTATGTCTACAAACAAGTATTTTTCTGGCTGTGCAACTTAGTTTTGCCAGTTATCCAAAAAAAAAAAAAGAATGTAAAATGAGAGTACAGTATTTAATATGCATGCAGTGTAACAAAATGCAGCCATGCTTGAAGAGTATGTAAAGAAATAAATACATGCCATAACAGTAGGAAAACCAACAACAGTCTGTGGTCATTAATGCAAGAATTACAGACTGAAGAATCAGTTAGCAAAATGATGCAAGAGAGAAGTCTGACTAAGGATAGCCCCTTATTACTCTATTCAAGCCCTTAGCAGAACCAGTAACAACCACGCATTCATCCAAATAACATCTAACAAGACAGTCACATACAGTACTCACAAGTTCCGTTAGATAGGTAACCTAATTGTTCTCAAACAGTACAACCTACTTGAAATTTCTATATGTCCATGAATATAATGAAATATATCATACTTGCCAGAGAAAGAATACAGTTCGAGTACTTTATTACACACTGCAGTGGCAGGTTTCCTAACAAGTGTCAATGCGACAGCACAAAACAAAGGCCTCTCCCCATCCCTGGCATTCCAACTAACACAAATCCAAATTTGAAATTTGAAAATTACGTGGTAGCGTAGTTGGTTGAGGCACTATGCTACAAGCCAGAAGGTCGCGGGTTCAAGTTCCGATGAAGCCATTGGATTTTTTTCAATTGATCTAATCCTTGCAGCCTCACTATGGCCCTGGGGTCGACTAAGCCTCTAATAGAAATGAATATCAGGAATGTTCTTTGGGGTAAAGGGTGGCTGGCATGTAAGGCCGACAACTTTGCCGCCATCTATGAGCCAATTGTCTAGAAAAATATGGGAACCTCAACATCTCACAACCCTGTGGGCCTCCACAGCCTGTTACAGGGATACCTTTACATTGTACAGTATGGTGGTCCCACCAAGCCCAAAAGGGAATTTTGGATGTCCAAGACAGAGAGAGTGATATTCAGTACAGCACTATGAAACATGCTGCCATTGCAAGCAGAATGGGGGGACATGTGATAGAAACCGAACTTACAAGAAGGGTATGTTAAGGATCTGGGAATGTAGGAAGAAAGCATGGCCAGCCATTCTGCAAGCCCATTGAGCCAGAAATGGACCGTGTGGCACACTACACCATGAGCTGACACTGTTCAGTCACTGATGCTCTGTAGCTAATAATGCTACACTATGAGCTGACACTTTGGTCACAGATTAAAGCCCTCTGGCATAATATTTTCGGCATATCGCAGGTCAGTGACTTATACACTGTTTGAATTGATAATTGAATTAGACTACAGCAGTTTCCTAGTCTTTCCCATCTGCTATATCTTCACATATTTATTACTTGGTAACATCCTGCAATCACCAGGACTCTGCCTGATACTTAGTGCTCAACAGTTCTGTTGTTATCATCTCCCCCTTTTGATCGGTTGATCAGGTAAATTGCTGCTGGCCCTCACCAGCACAGTCATTCTTGGCTCTGGGTCCTGTGGTACTTATAACCTTGTTTTCCTGTTGCATGACTGTGGGAATTGACTACCCACCTTAGTTTCACAGGTACTTTTGATATGGCTTTGATGCACACTGATTGTTTTGTACATATTCATTGCCCCAGAAATGTGTTTGGATACTATCATGATGCTCCTGTGACTCCACTTTCCAGCTTTTAGGCATCATGTCACAATATAATTGAAGCTACTTGAACAAAATATTTCAGAAACTATGTTAAAGATAGCTTTCTAAGAATGAAACATCCTCAGAATGTAGCAGTACTTGAAATTTCTGTTGTTAATCTTAACAGCCATGCATGCACTCTAGTTGATTGGGCATTATATTTTTTAAGTACTAATACATCATCCCCAAGTGAAAACATTGTCTTAGCCCATTTGTACTGGGAGATTTAAAACCCTGTATGCCTGGGCAGTAGGACAGTAAACTGTTTTTCTTGACTTAAAATCTTTCTACAAGCCTCTGTAATGCTGGAGCATTTAAAATTGTCTGTTCCCAGATGATGGTTAACCTTGTTTTTGTAAACTTCCCTAAACTGTAAAATGTGGCAATACAATCTGTGTATGTATTCATTACCAACCTTAAACATACTTTAGGAGTCACAATCTTTGAAGTTAAATATGTTACACAAGATGTTAGTGCACTGGTAGATGACATTTATGTTTTTGATTTCAAACAGTGTTTGATTACTGTACATTTCTTTTGCTTGTTTACAGCGGCAGTGATGAAAAATACTGGCGTACTGTTTGCTAATGATATAAATGCAGACAGAATAAAGGCAGTAGTAGGGAATTTTCATCGTCTTGGTGTTGTCAATTCAGTTGTATCTTCCTGTGATGGTCGAAAGTTCTCTGCAGTAAGTTTGTGGTATTTGATCACTTCTGTTTTCTGTGTGCATGTGCTGTAGGATGTCATTAATTAAGTGGGCCAGTAATGTTTTATGTGAAACAGTGGTTCTCAAACTTTTCTGCTTCATAGTTCGGTAAAGCAACACTAGGTTTTCTGGCTACAGGTACCCAGTCCATTTGACTCTATACAGTGTTAAATTTGAAGAGAAATCTTAATCCCTCACACTGAACATTCATAATTGAAAATTATATATGAGGACACAAGCTGTGTAATCATGAAAGTGAAGTTGTTTTCATTATCAGATTGTAATTTTTCCAGTTCCAGTAAAGAACAACTAATGTAAAACTAAGTAGAATTTCTACACTAACATTAATTAAAACATGGAAGACTGCCAGTTTGTAGACAGTGGGTTGAGAAACATTGCTGGAACATGTATATGTTAGGTGAGAAAGAGATGAATAGTAGAAAAACGATGACATGAGTAAATGTTGACATCCACGAACAGTAGGAAGACCTCAGCATTACTGTCAGAGCAATAAGTGGTTGAAGGTTTAGATCCAGTAGTGCTTATCATGACCCTAAAATTGACACACAAATACTTTTCAAGGCAAAACAAAATATAATTTTTGGATTTAAATATGTGAACAAATTACTTGAAGTGAAGCTCTAAACATGCCTATGTTAATACACTTGACCCAGTAGCATATCATATTTTTTGCCCAGATAGTGTGGCAGGTGGTAAAGATGAGCTTTAGCACCATTGGTTTAGATATTGTCAGTTGTGGACAAAGTGTACAGGGAGAGTATTGTCTTCTGGAATGTGACACTATGTAGTCTAATAGAAATTCTCTGATATTTCAGGGGAGAGTGTTCCCTTCTTCAGGGTCATAGAGTAAGTTAAGTAAGCAAGCAGAGTAGATTGTGAACTTCTGATTGACTGACCAGTGTCGATACTACCGTTCATAGTCACTTCTATGAGAACCTCAAATCCAATAAATTTTAGTCTTTTTGGGTAATGACAGTGAAATATTTAAGGATGACTATGCACCAGTTGCCACTTTGGTGAACAGTGGTAAATAAAGAAACTTGATTGATGGTAGTTACTGTAGGATTCTGACGATGGTGTATAATACACTGATATATTGGGTTTTTGGACTTTATCCATCGTCCTGGTTTTTAAGATAACTAATAAAAACACGACGTTTCGGAAACTGGATCTGTTTCCGTCCTCAGGTGAAGGAAAACACCTATTCTGTTAGGTGTTTTCCTTCACCTGAGGACGGAAACAGATCCAGTTTCCGAAACGTCATGTTTTTATTAGTTATCTTAAAAACCAGGACGATGGATAAAGTCTGAAAACCCAATATATCAGTTGATTGATGGTATTTTATAGGTGATAAAATGTGCTAGTAGTAGTGAAAAAAAGCTATGCATGTTTGTTTTTGTACTCACAATCAGGGCTCCAGAAGTATGGTCACCCAATTACCGTGGGCAAGTTAAGACCAGTGTCAAGTATAAAAATATATGTACATGGGAGACTCAGTAAATAGATTACAAATGGAAACAGAAGAGCTGTAATGAATGTAATACACAGTATGTCCAGGTTCTGTTAGGACTGTGTTCATTAAAAATACAAGATGTGAAATATTTTCAAAATTTCACTCTTTTTTATTCGAAATATTCTCCTTCTGAATCAATAGATATCTGGAATTGATTGAAAAGTTTTCGAGAACAGTCACTGTACTCCTTTTGTGGAATCGCATTTAAAACTGCAGTAGATTCCCTTTGGATGTCCTGGATGGTGTCGTGACAGTCTCCTTTCATCGCCAACTTAACTTTTGGGAACAACCAGAAATCTCCTTGAGCCAAATCTTGTGAATATGGAGGATGATCAAGAACTGTGATCCCTTTTCTGTCCAAAAAATTGTGCACGATCTTTGATTTGTGGGTTGGGGCATCGTCATGGAGGAGCGACCAGGAACCTTGCTCTCGATATTCAGGTTGAATTCAAGGAATTATCGCCCACAAACGATTCAGGACTCCGAGATAATAATCAGAATTCACTGTTTGACCTTCTGGCAGAAATTCCTTGTGAATGATTCCTTTAGAATCTAAGAAAAACGGTTAGCAGTGTTTTTACTCGACTCTTTTGCTTGTGCACTTTGTTTGGTTTCATCTTCTTTTGGCTCAACCAGGCTGTATCCTGCTGCTTTGTGAGAGGCTCATATTGAAAACACCATGTCTCGTCACCAGCAACAATTGATTTTGTAAATTTTGTATCACCTTGGGCCATCTATACCATGTCTTTGTAGTGTTCCACTCTGGCATGTTTTTCGTTGCCTGACAGCGCGTGTGGTACAAGCTGCTCACATACCTTCCATTTGCCCAAATCCTCGGTCAAAATTTGATGCACAGTACTTTTTCGTATTCCATTCCCAAAAGCTCCTCGATGAGTCTTGCAGAAATGCATCTGTCTGATGCAAGGATTTCCCCCCCCCCACATTTTATTCAGTGGGACTTGTTCTCAGGTTTGATGCATGTGGTGTGTCTTCAGTGTCCTCTCTGCCGTCACGAAATACAGCATACCATCAAAAAATGTTCACAAAACTCAAACAATCACTACTGTACACACTTTTCATCATTTTGTACACTTCTCTGGCTGTTTTGCCTAATTTCAAACAAAATTTGATGTTGGCTCTCTGTTCAACCGCCATTTTCCGACGAACGTCAGGACAGTACTGTTAGATTCAAGGTCAGAACACATGATGCAGTGATGCTTGTGCTTTGAAATTATAAACAGCCACAGCTGAAACTTCAAGAATCTTAACGCCACAACTCGCCAACAGATGGCATTGCAGGGCAAAATTTAAAAAATGAGTCCTAACAGATCCTGGACACACCGTGTAGGTTTTCTATGTGTATCACTAGGTAGCAGCACAGTCCACCTTCATGACAGTCTAGGTAACAGACGCACATGTGCATGTTCAGTGGCTGGTTCAGTAGTCAAGATGACACCATGCTTGATGAGAGTACTGCCAAAGAGCAGCGATCTGTTATGCACTTTTGTGGACAAAAGGACTCAATCCAAAGGATATCCATAAAGAAATGTTTCCTGTTTATGGGGGGAAGTGTTTGTTGTGTAAGGCAGTTTACAACTGAGTCAAGAAATTCTCTCAAAGACGTTTGAAAGTCACGTATGATGCCTGACCAAGTCTCCTTGTTGAAATTGTGACAGAAGCAACTGTGCAGTGGGTGGAAGAGTTGATTTGAGCTGACAGGATAATGGTAAATAGTGCAACAACTGCACCAGGCTGTTGCCATGGTTTAGCATACAGCATAATGCAAGATCATTTGAAGTTTCAGAAAGTGTGCTCCCAGTGGGTTCCCAGAGAACTGAAGGTTCAAGAGAAAATGAACAGAATGGGTCTGCCTTGCAATTTCTCTTGCAGTATGCAGATGAAGGAGAAGATATATTTAACAGGATTGTAACTGGGGACAAATCATCTGTCTCTTTGGTCTGCTAGAAAAACCACCTTGATGACAAACATTTCGCTGATGATGAAGAGGTTGGAACAGAGGTGCGGAAGTGGCTGAGACAACAGTCAAAAGACATCTATGCTGTGGGTTTTATTGCATTGGTAAAGCGATGGGACAAGCATATCATTGTTGGTGGAGGATATGTCAAGAAATAAATCTTGTTTCCAGGTTGTAATATCATATGTTTTACATTTTAGTGTATCTATTTGTAACCTATTTAGTGATGCTCCCTTATATGAAGCATACTGTTAATCTGTTGTTGATTGGCTGCAGATTTAAATTGTATTGCAGAGCTCTGCTCAAACTTACAGAGTAAGATAAAAGTATTGCGTATGTGAAATTGTTCTGTGTGCTGCAGGTGATGAAGGGCTATGACAGAGTCCTTCTAGACGCCCCGTGTTCAGGAACTGGTGTAGTTGCCAAAGATCCCAGTGTGAAGACCACTAAGGATGAGACAGATATCACACGTTGTTTTACCCTTCAGCGTCAGTTACTGTTAGAAGGAATAGATTGCCTGAAAGCCAATTCATCAACTGGTGGTTATATTGTGTATTCCACTTGTTCTATATTGGTGAGTACAATAATCAGAGTGATAATGTAATTGATTAAGGACTGTTAGACCATTTCATGTTTCCAGGAGAAACATGAGACGTAAATGTGGGCAGTAAGTAAAGGAAAGGTTTAAATTCATGTTATAATATGTAGTTTGGTAGGTTGACACCATCTCAAAGAAATATACTCTCATTATCATCTACCCAGATTTGCCAATGCAGTGTTCAGTCTATCATCCACAGTTTAGCATTTTTTCCCCACATGAATCCTGTCACTGATGTTCACTTCTCCAATATCATTATCATCCGTACAATTCTTACCATCACTTTCAGACTCTGGTAGACTTTTCTCTTAATTGCTAACATCCAAAGTTTTGCCAGTTGTGACAGTATATATGCTCTGTTCATACTTATAAATGCAGTGAACTTGAATGTGAATTTAAAAGTAAGAGTGTAATATAAGGACAGGTGAATGTTAAACATATATTTTCTCTTTGCATAAACTTCAACAAGTATATGACATTCCTTTGAACAAGTGTTAGTCCATGAAGTCACATAAAATATTCCAATATTTTGTACTTCTTCAGCCAGAGGAAAATGAATGGGTTATTGACTATGCCTTGAAGAAGAGGGATGTGAAACTTGTACCAACTGGATTAGATTTTGGGACAGAAGGATTCACAAGTTACAGGCATCACAGGCAAGTGTTAACAACTTAGAATTGCTGTATTGACATAAGGATATGTTAATTTTTATACTTCTTAAAGAAGCAACAATTTTTAGTTTGAGCCAGAGCTGAACCAATGTTTGTCTTTCAGTTTGAGAATATGTAGGGGTACTCAAACATTTTGAGTCTGCAGGCCACTTCAGCAGGGAAAAGAATCCTGTGTAAAGCTTCTGATTTTGTTCCTCCCTTGGTTTTAACACTTGATTATTAGCACCATAAGCAGCTGTGCCTTGGGCATAGCTTTTTCTTCTTATTATTCAGTGTCACATATGATGGTAGTGCCAAAATTTTCTTGGGTGATCAGCCGTGTCAATGCTGGTTCTTAACATTGACATCACTGATCACCCAAAAATAATTTTGCACACCTAACTGGTTATGCATTGTTGTCTAAATCTTTCTCTTTTGTTATATTCAGTCAATATCTCTTATTTCAGGTTCCATCCAACAATGAAACTAACGCGAAGATTTTATCCTCACACTCACAATATGGATGGGTTCTTTGTTGCTAAGTTAAAGAAGTTTTCCAATAATATTCGGAAGTCCAATGTTGTGAAAGAAGAAGAAGAACATGATACCTAAAGCAGAAAGTTAGAAATTAATTTCTGCAACAATCAGTAATATAGTAGCTAAAGTACCATTCTTTTCCAAGGTTTTCTGACACAATGCAATTATGTATTTCTTATAATAAATCTGTTTAATAAATTCCTATATAATGCTTTTAACTACATGTATAGTAGTGAACGCTGTAAATGCATATTTAAGAAAGGTCATGAACACAATAAACAGTAACAAGGCAAGTAACAACCCTCGCAGCCAAAGAGGAAGGACACATCACAAGACACAGTACACAAAAAATATAGGAAAAACGACTCCCATAGTGGAAGAACCATACAATACGCGAGTTTGAATTAAGATGAATACTCTAAACAAGTTTTAGTGTATACAGATTTTATTAAAGTTGATGAAGAATGTACATTTTAATAATTTTATGAAAGACCTATGATGGCAAGCAATGCAATAGCTTAGCGTAAATAAAGCACCTGAGGATGGCCCAGTGTTGCCGAAACATGTAGTGAAGTGAAATGTGAAATTGAGTGCACTACAAGACGGCCATTACATACATATCATGGATGAGTAACAAGGCACCTGAAAGTTGCTTCACTGCGACAAGCATTGAAGTACCTGTTCTTTGCCCAGATTTTATTTCAAATAAACTGTACTTAAATAATGAAATTGCTCCTTTTCTTCTCTCTTATAAAATATCGAAATGTGGAGTATCTGTGGCACCAGCAAATGTCACCCCCTCCCCCAAAAAAGTCTTCAAGACCAATTTCCACCAATGTGGAATTTTTTGAATGGACACAGACACTTATATTAGAGATCACTTTTAATTTCAGCATGTGCAACATATGTTCCACTACAGCCCACATAGTGTGCATACAGCTCACATGTGAATATTTAATTTCTTCACAAAAAGACAAAGTAATAAAACAGTTGCTTTCTTTTAGCATTGCTACTAAATGAAAATGATGTATTACACATTTTAAATAAACTACATGTCAACAGCAATGAGGCACTTATTTTTCATAACTGATATATAAAGGTTAATGCATTAAAAATTCACTGAATTATTTATTTTCAGTAAATTCAGATACTCCAAAAGTTGAGATCCCCATTTACAAGTGGCATTTCCCACTAACAGTTACATGTGTAGATAACAAACTTTTATATTAGGTCTTGCTGCATTTCTAAAACTGCATGGATACAACCACAATAACAATACTTCTTTACGTCTCAATAATCTACACTTTGAAACACTGTGATAGCATAGGATTCTCATATCTCAGTTATCATAGTGCATTTGAAGCTAAATAACCTGCTTCACTAAGCAGACTTGACTGGTCTCAACAGCTCATTCTTGCCAGTACTGTTCTGTCCTTGACGGTTATTCCTTCAACCCCATTCCATCCTGCCTCCACCATTGGCATATCTACATGTATATGACAGGTATGTTCATTTATGACTTGTCTCCATGCGGTCGCGACACAATTTGATAAACTGTGGCTTTAAGGAGTTTTCCATACATGTGTTAGAATTTTTATTTTATTGCTAGTGGGTTGTGATTAAGTCCCTTGTACTGTGGCCACTCCTGGCCTATTGTACCAGGCCCAGATGGTAGGTGAGGGTGATTGTGGAGCAATTGGTGGAATGAAGATTGGCAGGGTAAACCGAAGTACTCTGAGAAAACCTGCCCTGGTGCCACCTTGTCCACCAAAAATCCCACTTGACCAGACCCGGGATCGAACCGGGGCCGCGGAGGTGGGAAGCCAGCGACTAACCTCTTGAGCTATGGCGCGGCCGTGTTAGATGTTACTGGTGTTCGGTCGAATCTCAATAGCCATTATTTCTCCGAAACGTCAGGTGACTTTCACCAGACTGCATGGAAATGTATCCCAAAAGTTTGATTTTTCTTATAATTTTCTGTTGGGGTACCTGATGCCCCAACATACGCCTGGTATTACTTCTTTACTGCACCACTGACGGGTTAAAAAGATTTTCACCTATAAGGTCCTTGCCACTGTTAGGATCGTTAGATTTAGCGAAGTGGGGCCCTTGACCACGCCCTTGACCATGTCAATGGGTACTTGCACATTGCTAAGATTATAGAAGCAACGGCGTAGACATGTTCTCTGAAAGAATGAGTTTAAACACGACCTTTGAATTTGTGAAAGTATTTTAGTGTATAACTAAGGTTATGTGATTTACACATTTATTCAAATTAATTCGGCGCCCTTTGGAGGTGTAAGAGAAACAAGTAAGTCTACAATACGTCTTATGGAACTCTGTCAATGTTATCAGTTTATGTTACTGTTAAGGCTTTTTACGAAGTTTTATAAACATATCTAATGTAGTATACGGCGGTCCCGTGTGATTTTTTTTATAAGCATGTGTTCAAACGTCCTGTCACTATTCTTTCTTCCGCCCTGGAGATTTGGCATGAGAAATTATATAAAAAAAGTTTGATTGTATGGTTTTGTATGCATATGCCGCGTATGTGGTAGACGTCATGTGCCGCTTGAGCCATTTTTCACGTATCAGAGAACGTCAGAGAAACTGAGCTGTGCAAGTGAGGTTGCAGTTCGATCCCATTTTCACCCCTGACTTTTCGATATTTATAAGTACTATCCAAGGTACCCCGGTTTGGTGATTAGTTGAACAGTTTTGCAAAAATGCGTTTTTGTTAACCTTCAAATGAAAGGACCGAAAATAATTTGCAAGTATCTATATGATGCCCCCAAATTTCAAGGCTAAATATGTTTAGTGCGTTCATGTCTTCTGCTCTGCCCACCTTCTGTCGTTTTCTACCCCGTGCCTAGCTTAGTATGTAGATTCCAATGTGGCTAATGCATTCAGAATTGCATGGATTATTTAAGCAGTATCTTGAACTGTAATATGTTTTAGTCATCTTGTTTGGTGAAATAGTGTATATTATTACATGGATCGGAAAATGGAAGAGTGGGTTCTAATGGTCTGTATTTCTTATCATCAGTCTCAGCTTGAATATAGTATTATATTCTGGGGTTCTTCTCCAGCTATAAGAAGTTTATTTGTTGCCCAAAAAAGAGCGATTAGCGTTATGCTGAGACTGAGTCCTGGAAACTCGTGTAGAGAAGGTTTTGAGAGGTTGGGTATTTTGACGGTTCCTAGCCTATATATCTATTCTAAATTGATGTCTGTTGCTAGAAATTGCAATTTTTTTCAAACCAACAATAATGTTCATCATCTAAACACTAGACAGTTTGGAAAGCTTCATGTGTTATCAGTGAGATTATCTTCAATCCAGAGAGGCGTGTTATATTCATCCATTATGGTTTATAATAATCTTCCTCAAAATATACAAAGGATGAGTGATAATGTGAAGATTTTTAAATGCACACTGAAAAGTTTCCTCACAACAAATGCTTTTTATTCAATAGATGAATATATTTCTGCTAAGCATGTATAACATTTAATAACAATATTCCTTGTAATTTTGTTTATGGATGACAATGTAAATTATGGTTGTTTGGTGCTTTTGGTTGTGTGTGGTTGTCTGCTGTTGACACGATTGTACTTCTGCAATCGAGTCTTATTTTGATGAGTTCAATGTCCGGTCCAATTCGAACAACAGATCAGTGAATTTATGAATTATGTATGTATGTATGTGTGTGTATATATAAAATTAATATATATGTATATAAATTTGAAACATTGGTATCATTGAAACAGAACAAACACACAAAATGTAGTCATCCAAGAAGTTTGATATACTGAAACTAATGAAGGCTACTGTAGCAGTTTCTGCCAATAGACCTCAGTTGACCTCAATGTGGGCTCCCTTGATAGCACGGAGAATGTCCAGAAGATATTCAAGCTCTTGCCATGTTCTGTGGAGCATGTCCACTGGAATAGCTGAGATCACATTCCTGATATGGGTCTTCAGGTCATCAAGTCTGTTAACTAGTGACTGGAACACACTGCTCTTGACATATCCCAACAGAAAAAATCCAGTGGTGTTATGTCTGGTGAACATGGAGGCCAAGGCATTGGACTGTCTCTGCTGTTCCATTGTTGAGACGATGGAAGCAGTATAAATAAATAACATTGTCAGTTCAATTTACCTGTTTATTCACAGTAATAATTATAGAGAAAATCACAAAGAACGAGACAGGGTAATGTCCCTTTTTATCACAAGAATGTTGAACACACAAACTCTCAGGCAGCGTCAGGCTCTCACTGCGCCCTTCCTTTTCTCGTAAGACTGTCGGAACAAAAAAAAAAAAACAAAAGAATGGAAAAGAGCGCCCTCTACACAATATGGAGATATAAGGCGCCAACATTCAAACTATAAGAAAATTAATACAAAAGTGATTTTGATTGTTATTAATACTATAACATCCATCTTCATGGAAATGTCCTGTCTGGGAATGCCAGTGGATTTCTTCCTGTGGGGATATGTCAAGAGCAGTGTGTTCCGAACCCCAGTCGACGGACTTGATGACCTGAACACCCATATCAGGAATGCGATCTAGGCTATTCCAGCGGACGTGCTCCAGAGAACATGGCAAGAGCTTGAATATCTTCTGGACATTCTCCATGCTACCAGGGGAGCCCACATTGGGGTCTACTGAGGTCAGTATAAAATTTCCAGAGTTTCACTGTGATCTGCCTCAAACAGCGTGTGGCTAGCTCAATTTGTCTGCATGCCACAATTTTTCAAAACCCCGAAAGGACTTTGTGGACACACTGTACATTAGCTTTTTAAGAAGGACTGTGTTCATTGGAATTATGATTTATTTAATGGCACTGTCAATAGATCAAATACACAGCCATGAATGATAAAATGAATAATGATTTGTAGAATATATGGAAGGAAGTGGTTGACCCTGATTTAAGGTACTAATCTGGCATTTTCTTGGAGAGACTGAGGACAAATTAAAAACATCAGTCACGATAGCAAGCATTCATGCCAAGTTTTGAACTCAGCTCCCCCAGAGTATGAAGCAAGAATACTACCCACTCAACTCTGAAGTATAGGCAGCTTTTTACGAATGTCATTTTTGGCCGTATGGACCTACCTTTGTATTTAAGAGTTCAAAAATGTATGTAAAATGTGGTGTCAAGTTTTTGGATTTTGTTTTATCACCTACCAAGAATTAGAGTATGATGAGGATTTGGATTGAGTGTATCTGGAGGGATTTCATATGTTCTGATTGTTACAGGTAGAGATATGATTCCAAAGTACGGGACAATTTTTATGATTCCTTTATTGTTGTGTGAGGCTTCTCTGTCTCAGATTTTATTTTACTATCCATTAACTGAATGAGATCAATGTTTGGCAGTGTGTAAGGCCGCTGTGTCACATACACAGAAGTTAGCCAGACCCTGAGACATAGGCAGCATGATGTATATCTGAAGGCTAGGATCTTCTTGGCTGTAACACTGTGTTGTTCAATTTAAGTCCACCATTGTATTGGAGGAATGTATCACCATCTTCAAGGTTTAAGAGAAAGCCAGGAAAGAAACCAGTCATAATTAGGCAGCTGAAGATGGAGGTGATAGTCATCACCATGAGAACCTCAAATCCATATCATGATGTTTCTCTTAAAATGAACAGAACAAAAAAATATCAAAAATTGTCTGACAAAAATTTAGTGTAGGTGAATGAAACCAATTTTGATTGAAATCAATAAAGCAGACTGGGCCCTCTTGTATACTGACAGATGGATAGACATGAAACATACAGGTGGTTTTCAAAAACCATTTCTTTTAAACGCTGTTAAAGTTGCTAACACTGGTATAGACCACGAGGGTTCTGAGGAGAATGATTGTGCCTAAGTAAGTAACTCTTTGGGGTAGAATTCTTTTTTGAGAAGCTAATAGTTGCTCAACTTGCCAAGAGCACCTTAGTTTAATATGCAGAGATTGGTACCATGTGTGTAAGGTTCTGCCACTGATCTCTGTCCTAAGTCAGATGAATAATACCCCAAAAAATGTGAAATCACAATATGAGAAGAGATTGACTGTTTTAAATCTATGTCTTCTGGGTTGTGATGCTGTGTAGGCTGATAGATGATTACCAAGGCATAGGTGGGGGAACAATATTAAAATGGATCTTAGAGAGATGCAATGGTATGGATTGAATTGATCTGGCCTGTGATAGGGACAGTGAAGGGCTCTTGTGATCATGGTCATGAACCTTCAGGTTCCATAAAATGCTAGGAAGCTCTTGAGTAGTTGCATAATTGGTGGCTTCTCAAGAAGGGCTGAACTCCATGAGAGTGTGAGTGAGTGATTCCAAATGACCATGGTCTTAATATTTATCGCTGCGAGAACCTAATATGTTATGATATTGTTGAACTGGAGGCTTTGCAGTACTCCTGTGTTGCAAGGACATTTCAGTTCTTCCCTTTGCTTCACTGCAGTGGGTAGTCGTTTTCTACATGTTTGGGTATGTAGTTGGAGAGTGGTTTGGGAAGGTACAGATAAACATTACAAATTAATACTATATTTTACACTTGTGTAAACCTCGTTATAATAGGCATATATTTAATAATTTAGTCATGGTACAAATAACAAGCAACATCTCAGCTTTGGCAATGATATAAATACTGATATATGAAAATGTGACAATGGTTTACATTTTTATTATTCTTTCTTATTCACGCTTTGTTGTGTATATACACAAACATGTGTTCTCATTCACTCTGTCATTCACTCGGTTTATAAATAAACATAAAGCACAAACACATAGTATACAATTGCAAGTAACACACTGAGGTACTGTTACAGTACAACATTCATTCATGAAATGCAGAATATAAAAATGGACAAAAGTCCTGCAATTAGAAACATTCAACCATTCTACACTTCTTACTTTATTTACAGAGGTTTAAACATTTGAAAATATAACAGTTTGTTTCATAACAGGAACTTAGAGAAATCAGTGTCTTTATATGAGGGTGGTTCATATTTGTTCTGGATTTCATGGACGCCATCTTAGCCTCACTTTTCAACATCAGAGGTGCTTGTGAATGATTGTAGAAGTGCACTGCCACAGATGTTCACTTCTATGATTTGATGCACAGAAATGTCTTTTTTTTTCCTTTCCCCCCGAATAAGCTTCTGAGCTTCATTAATGTTTAAGCACAATAGGCCACTGTAGGTCACAGTGCAAGGGCTGAGGAGGCCTACCCCTCATACATTCATTCATTAATGTTCACGCAGTTAACTGATTTTTGTGACCATGGGGAACATTACACACTGTGGAATGGCAGCCCTTGAATGTAGTACATCTTTCATATTTGTGCTCTTGAGAGTGCATAATCCCTGAATTGTATTCTTAAGTCTTCAGTGAATATCAACTGGTTTTGTTCTGTCTTTAACCAAACGTTACACATTACAGCTCACTGTTTCACATTGCTGCTAACTTCTATTCATGCCGTCATGCAATGTGCATGAATGCGAGTATGATTGCGTGAAGAAGGGGCATGTGAAATGGTGAGAAACATTGAAAATTCCTGGTCAAATTTGAACCACCTACATAACACAACAAATAAGGGAATGATGCTTTAAACCAGGTTCTTACTTAAAGAATACTATCTTGTGGGATATGATGCCGGGTAGATTTATAGAAGTCCATCAGTGTTTTGGAGGAACATACTGCCTCCATCTTCAGGGTTGAAGAAAAAGCCAAGCAAGAAACCTAGATGCAGGCTACAAGCAGAGCAATGAAGATAGAGGCAGTACATTGCTCAGAAATGGTGGTGGACTGATGCTGGATTACATGGCATTATATCCCAGATGATGGTACTCTATGTAGACATAGCCGTGAGAATCTCAAATCCAAATATAAATATTCTATCAACATCTTCATTTATAAGAGCACATCAGTTTGTAACCATTAACTGTAAGCAGTTAATTGTGTAACTGTTGGCAAATTATAAGTGCTAGGGATTTGAATGGTTTCATACTGGAAATATAAACAGTTTGTTGTTGACTCAACAGTTTACACTCATACAACTTCCTTCTCCTCTCTGATTGTGAGGGAGTGGAACACATCCTCATCCATATTGTCATTTTCTGGAATTATGTTATCCTCATCCTCAGGTACAATAATAGGCGTCGCTCCATCGTGTAAGCTGGATCGTGACAGAGAACGTCTGTAGAGATCGCGTGAGACACTTCTTGTGAAGCTTAGCCTCCTGGATATAATACGTTGCATTGGAGGTTTTGGTGTAATCTCTGGTGTTGCAGGTTTTGCAGGGATAGGAGCAACTTTCTCAATTGTGTAGGACTCAAGGAGATCGTTCGTGTGCTCCTGAATCACCTCCCAAGCGTGATCTAAATGGAGAAATGGAGTATTTTATTATTTAAATAATACAAGTTGTTTTAAGGCTGATTGTATGCCTGTTATTTTATTTAATTATGCAGAATCATACCTTAAGTTTATTTGGTGAAAGTAATAATGAATGAATAATGTAGTGGGGGAATAAATATTGGGTGTAAGGAATGTTAATGGCTGGACTCAGAAGGAACCTACATCTAGATATTTTATCCTAAAATTAAATTGACACCCTGTGACTAGGCTGTGAAATTTTATCTAAAGATTTTCTGTGTGAACTACTAAATTCATAATAAATTGTTATAGTTTTTTAAATGACCACTGTACCCAGAAAGATCAAATTCTAATTAAATTTAGTAGAGAAAATGGAGAAAAACATCTATGTCTGTACTTTGAACATCATTTTAAAATCAGTTACATATTAACAGTGCTGATTTAGTTTTGTTCATATGATGCTGAAATATTAATAGTGTAATGCAATGAAGTATGTACTCTCTTAAGATTTTCTTTATTATGTGAAGGTTTGTTAGTGACCAGCAACAATGTAGAGTAGTCCTATTGTAAGGCAGATAATATTTTACTATTCTACATGATATGTAAATGTTATCTTAATATATGTAAGAGGAAAATTAATTGCCTAATATTTAAGTGTATTGAAACATATACTATGAAAATGTTTGGTAAGAAACAATGTTGGAATAAGCAAGAGGACTGTAACATTTGCTTACCAATATCAGCTTCATTTGCATGTTCAGCAACAACACAGAAGCGGATGATGTACCTTCCTTTAACCAATGATGGGATCATGTGAAGTTTTCCTGAACCATTAATAGAGGCCAGAAGATCCTGGTTTAGCCTGTCTGTTCCTCGAAGTCTGAAGCACACGAGACCCATCTGGAAGAAATCAAATTACTTATAAGAATTCATGACATCAAGCCTTTTATGTTTCAGATTTGCATGTCATGGCATTTTGAAAATAATTGTTAATTCTGAGAGTTAAGTTCAGCAATGGACTTACCTTAACTTCATTGACAACTTCAAATCTTGAATCTTTCTTGACAAGGACTTCGAAAGATTTTGCAAGCTGGCAGTGATTTCGGATGTATGATTGGAGTCCCTCAATACCATATTTCCTTATCACAAACCACAGTTTTAAGGCTCGGAATCTGCGACTTAGAGGTACACCCCAGTGCCTGTAGTCAATGGCTTCATCTGAATTTGCATGTTGCAGATACAGAGGATCGACAATCAAGGCTGAAGTGAGTCTGATCCTGTCTCGCACCCAATATGTTGAACAGTCAAAGTTAACCAGCAGCCATTTGTTGGGATTTGTGTTGAAAGAGTCTGCATATTGTATTCCTGCCATCAGAGGTTTGTTCTCTGGACAGATGAAAGCATTTCCAGCATATGCACCATCTACGTGCAACCATACTGCTGGAAAACGATGACATACTGGTCCAATCTCAGTGAGGTTATCGAAGGAGCAGCAAGATGTGGAGCCAAGTGTTGTTGAGACAAAGAATGGGACCAGGCCTTTGGCCACATCATCCTCCATTGCCTATTAAAGATAAACACAATCCATCATAGTTGTTATTTTTACAGGCAGTTTAATGCTTTTTAATGACTTCTTGTGTCAGTTGCTGAATTTATTTAACCATTATGATGCTGGTAATTATAAACAGCAGTGATATTGTAAGTTGGAGAAATATACCATGATACAGTACTGGCCATCAAAAGTTTCAACAGATTTTTGAGGTGAAGAGGTATTACTGTTAATGAGCAATTAATTACTGATATATATGATTTTGATAATGTAAACTTAAATACAATATGTAGTAGAATGAAATCTCTTATTCCCACTTCCAAATGTTGCTGTAGCACATTGTACTTCAAATCTATATTCCTGGCAATTGAATCTTACCTCTCGAAGTGTAGCACCACGGAGACTGCATCTTTCATCTGGCTCCAAAATACGAAGTTTGACAAGACAGATCATGGCTGCCTTCTCAACACAGGAATGAGCCTCTTGTGAGCAGTATGCTACAAGTCTAGGCAAGAATGCGCTATCTTCCATGTCAGGATAGTCTTTCTTCAGGTTTTTGATGGCCTGGGCTCGAGCAGCCAACATTGAAACTAGGATACATTCACTGGCAGAAGACTGCAAGAATAAAAAAGGAAGAAATTGTTCACTTAATAAATTTGAGAAATATTTCATCATTATATCTAAGCGTGAGTGTAGGGATGGCGTTGAAGTGAGAGGCTGTAACATTTTTCTTTGGACCTGAAACCATCTCACCTCCCTTCTTTTTTTGTACATGATTTCAGACCAGATAAGAACACACTCTGTAATTTTGCACAGAACTTCTGCTTTTTATTGTCACATAAGTCCCACTGGGAAGGAATAACCTCCTCATGTAACTGCTCAGCACAAAAGAGTCATGTTGGCAGTTGAATGATGTGCTTCTTTAGTTCTGTGTAAGATTTGAGGCTTTCATGGTGGTGACTATGAAGAAAGCAGTCTTCTGGGATTTGGCACCGTGTATATGTGGTGTTAACCGACGTTTCGGAGGAACGTATCGCCTCCATCTTCAGGGTAGAAGAAAAAATATAAGAAATCTGCAAGCGAATAGACCGTGAGAACCAGTAAAAGCAGACTGCTTTTAAGGGTCTGAGATAACCGCTATAGACCTCAGTCAAAAGTTTGTCCCGGACTTCAACTTTTCTATGCCAGTGTGCTCAATTATTCATTATAGGATTATAATACAATTTTTTGTGAATTAATGACTTATTAATATAAAATACTTGTGCTGATACATGTAAAAAAGGTAAAGCTATTCCTGTAATAGGCTGTGGAGGCTCATAAGGTTGTGAGACATCAAGGCTTCTTTATTTCCTAGACAGTCGGCCCACAGATTGTGGTGAGGTCAGCCTTATATGCCGGCCACCATTTACACCCCAGGAAGATTCATGGTACTCATTTCTGTTAGAGGCTTAGTTGACCCAAGGGCCATAGTGCGGTTGGAAGGATTAAGCCAATTGCAAAACCCATTGACATCGAGAATCAAACTTATGACCTTTCGTCTTGTAGCATAGTGCCTCAATCAACTAGGCTACTCTGTGCCTCAAAGCAGATGCCCTTAGGGCTGTGAGATGTCAAGGCTCCCACACTGTACAGACACCTGGTTCACAGATGGTGATGAGATTGTCAACCTTATGCACTGGCAACCCTCAGCCCCCTGGAAGATACCTGGTACTAATTCATATTAGAGTCTGAGCTGACCTCAGGGCCATCGTGCGGCTGGATGGATTAGGTCAGTTGAAAAATCCAATGACCCCATTGGGAATTGAACCCGTGGTTTGTACATGTGTGATGAAACAGGTTATATAATACTGGTAGGCTCAGTACTTACTTGTATGACTCCACCGCCCTTACTGCCTGGAGAAGATGCTATAAATTCATCAGGAAGCCCAATAGCTTTGCCTAAAAGTAGAAATGGAAAATCCATAATAGTCACATAGTTAGAAAGGAAATTATTAATAAATTATGTAGTTCTCTGCTATTTATCAATGGCATAGAAGATAGATATGGCGTATTAGTCAAACTAAACTTACCAAACCAATCCAAGACAATGGTCTCCAGTTCAGCACATACTGGGCTGGCAGCCTGCAAAGAAAGTAAGATTTGTGTTACATCACTGTATCACATTATTGATATACTGTCTTACAACTGCTCATTTTTTGAAATATAAATAGTGCATATAGTTTTATATGGGTGAATTGCGGCATGTTATGTGCAGCATATATTGACAAACATACAGAGCCCATATCTGTTAATGAGATTAATATTTTATTTTGGCAGTAAGTATGAAAATAAGGGCTGCACCATAGCTCAAGCGGTTAGTTGCTGGCTTCCCACCACGGCGACCTGGGTTCGATCCCGGGTCTGGTAAAGTGGGATTTGTGGTAGACAAAGTGGCGCTGGGGCAGGTTTTCTCCAAGTATTTCGGTTTCCCCTGCCAATCTTCATTCCACCAATTGCTCCACAATCACCCTCACCTATCATTTGGGTCTGGTACAATAGGCCAGAAGTGGCTGCAGTACAAGGGACTTAGTCCCTTAGTATGAAAATTATGGTCTCTTTGGATGTGACAGGTATCACTGTTTCAGACGAACCTGTCATCTCCCTCTTCAGGGTACATACCTTTCAAATCACAAGATGTCACATCCCAGAAGGCCATAATCTTATTTTATTTGTGCTTGATGAAAAGTGACCTACCCATGAGAAACCGATGCAGCCAATAGCATCTGACAGCATGTCACCAAGAATTGACGGATAAGAGTTGCCAGATGGAAAGTAAGCATGAAATCTGGGGTGTTGCCAGTGTGTTACCTGAAAAAGAATGTTAACTTGGTTACTTTGATGCATTATGCATTCGTAATGTGTGTTATCACAGTAGCAAACATTTACACTATATCATAATTATTTACAGAAATGCAAGTAAATGCTGTGATAAGTGTAAATCAGTTTTGCGTTGGTGTAAGTTACAGCAGATGCTATGGAAAAGCAGTTAAGGAAGACTGATCTTTTGATCATTCAATATGCTATTAGACCATATTTGATTGTTTTTCTTATTTAATTTGTAGCTGTTCTCATTGAGAAGTGTGCATAAATAGATCACCCATAGGACAAATAACTTAAGTAGGGAGGAAGACTCTCCAATATGGAGTCCAAGACTTTGCAATTCAAAAGTATTCATAAGATGCTAGTGTGCAGTGTGTTAACAACAGCTTACCCCAGGCATTATCTTTGTGTCAACGTCAGCCATAATTGTATCCCAGTCCTCTGGATCCTGGGGGGCCTGTGGTGGGAGAAGATAACGGAGATAGCCAGGTTCTACATTTGGTGTAACCCTTCGTGAACTTAGCCCATCCATGTAATCACAGATGTAGTCCACCATTTCCTTCCCTCGTATTCTGAATTCTTCAGTGTCCATCTGGGGAGAAATATATTTTCATGTAATAATATATGAGAAATGATTGCTGTCACCCCCTCATTGATTGCTCTAATAAGTGATAGAATGTGATGTTTGTGAAGAAGTATGATGTTCAAAATTAGAATAGCCAATATTAATTTTATTTGATTATAGGTAGGCATGTGAGATAAATTGGTTGTTCCTTATGAGAATATGATTTTGCTGATTATAGTAGAAGGTAAAGTTGTTAGTTAAGCACCAGGCCATGAAGACGTACGGGGGAATGAAGATATGGCACCACCATTCTTGACCTCTGCACTAGATGGAGGTGAGTGGTCAGCTTCATGCCCTATCCATTTTACCGCTGGGGGAAAAAGCCCATGGTACCTACTGGATAGGAAGCTGGGTGGGCCCCAGAGCTGGTCTGGATGCTGTGGACTAGGAAAAAATCTCTTGACCTCTCAGGGATTAAACCCCAGCTGTCTAGCCTGTAGCCTGTTGTCATACTGACCAGGCTGTCCCAACTACTGATGAGTGCAGTCGTAAAGATAAAAACCAGGGACTTTTAAATTTTAGTGGGACATTTTTATGTATACTGAGTGTTGGTATGAGCCGGAGTAGCACAGTTGGTAAAGCGACTGCCGATAGGCTGGACAACTGAGGTGTCGGAATTTTATCTTCTTCATGTAGTCCACACAGGCTCTGGGGCCCACCCAGCCTCCTATCCAACGGGTACCATGAGCTCTTTCACCAGGGGTAAAGTGGCTAGGGTGTGAAGGTGAGCACTCACCTCCAGCTAGTGCCGAGGTCAAGAAAATGTGGATCCATACATACACTACCCCAGATGCCTTCATGGTGTAGTGCTTAATTAGTTACGCACAGGGACAACTTTACCTTCACATTTACTGAGTGCTGGTATTTTGGAAGTATCTGTTGTCAGATTTTATTTAACTAACATATGCTGCTGGTAGGCAGCTTATGATAGCCAAATTATTTATTGAAACTGTGAATTGCATTTTATCATAGTTCTCTATAAGTGTTTGTAAAATGTGTTGTATTAACGGTAATGCTTGCAGTATGACAAAAGAGTCTGTTCAATGCAAGACTCACAGTGTAACCGTTCATTTTGATTGGAGAACTGTTGTGCATAAATTAAACAAAGGAAGTGAGCGGTTACAACAGATTTATCTCTGACATACTGGCAATAAGGCCTCAAATTTTGGGCTTACTGCTATAATTTGCAGTATTTCAAGTCAGTGTATTGAACCTCTTTGCTAATGCAGTTGTGTAAAATGGCATATGTTCCTGTCTGCCCTGGCTTGCAGCTGTCCTGAATCCCATGATAAATTTCACATTGAAACCTTTTAATGAAACATTATTTGTGGCCTTATTTGATAATTAGGACTATTACATGACTTGAGAGCATAGATGTATATTACACAGTTATTTAATAAAACTGAAATTAAGGGTGTTTCATGCTGTAATTTTGCAAGCGATACAGATTATTCTGTGTATATATATATATATATATATAGTTTTACATAAAGTGTCAATTTTCAGAAATAGCGTTTGAGCCCAGAAAGGTAAACGTGAAACAGCAAACCACACAGTGAGACAGAAACAAGTAGACACATATAGTGTTAATTAAATGCCGGACTTTTTAAATGATCGTAGGGGAGCTGGACGGATTTTATTTAAATTACCGTTGCTGTTGGGCATTTAAATGTCCGTTGCCGTTAGGTGTTTAAATAATTCTAAGCATTTCATTAAAATGTATCTAACATAATTTTTTTTATAGAGGAATGGAATTGACTTTGCTTTTATCAGCACCAAATGAAGGTCAGTGGCCATCTTCAAGCCCAGGCTACTTTACCTCTGAAGAATGATAGCCCCCCCCCCCGTACCCACCTTGTAGAACACTAGAACTAGTGACAGAGAGGAAGAAATCTGTACCACTGCCAAGAATCAACCCCCGCTACCCAGCCTGTAGCCATTACCATACTGACTGAACTATCTTGGCTCCCTTTTCTTATACTGGTGCGTCGCCTCACTTCTGACAGGCTATACCCGTGTTTATATACGTCTTGTATGAAGTTTCGTGCCTTGTGATTGACACGGCGAGGCACAATATTCAGAGAGAGAATCTGCTTGTGTGTCATTGCCTCGAAGTTTTCTTTAAAATCCGTATCCAAGTGTCAGCTTAAGTTGTGAATGACATATACACATACACACGCGCGCGCACACAAGCAGAGCCTTCGCCAGACTGCCGAATCTTTCGTTCACCCTACAGGAGAGACACTACTCGTGTCTACTCGAACCACGTGCTTTACGAACTCGGTGTAGTCGAAATGCCAGAAGCCTACACACGTCACGATTTCTTCTCGATATCACCCCAGTAACGCTTTGAACAGTTACCGTGAAGTGAGTTGTGTTCTGTGCCTGTCAACCGGTATCTCAGATCTCTGTGACATCATTAAACAGTAAGTTTTGATACATCTTGTGTCTCAATTGCCACGCGATAGTCACACATTGAAGCGAATGTTCATGTACAGCATCAGTGCGAGAAATAAGGGGAAGATTCCGGTACAAATTTCAGGATGTGTCAACAGAGTCGTTTTTGGACAAACAGGAATCGAACCAAAACGTGGAATGCTTACTGAAAAGAAACTGGATGTAGTCGGTGCTGGGACTAACATTTCCTCGAAAATCTCTTGGATGCGAGTACCGGGGTTTAATGTTTCATGTTTCAAGTGTCCTCTGGTTTCGAAAGGGAACTTAAGAGCTTGAACGTGACATTTTACGGAGGTTTATGGAATGTATGCGTAAGAACAGAGAGCATTTCTATCATCCCTTGTGATTTGGGCGGGGTTTGTGTATGATTTGTTGGCTTGTAGGTGCGTAGAGCGTGTTCTTCCCACCGGACCAGCCGAGAGACTTCAGGCAGGCTCTTAAATAACCTTCCTGTGTATACGACTATGAATATACTCGTACATTCCTGATCCAGCATGTAAGCATATCGTGAAGCGGTTTATGCAGTGAATTTGTTGAAAGTCTCACATCTGCAGGTGTATTGTATGTGGGCGATGGGCCTGAAACCGAGCACTTCTTTTTTAATTTGGTGTGAAATGCAACTGTTCTGTTTCATATTTCCTACCGTCGACGTAAAAGAACACCGTGCACGGTAACCAAGGCTGTCATAGCGATGTATAAGCACTGCGGTAGAATTTTCGAATGGAACTCTACTCATTCCCAAATTTTTAATGGCATGTTTTACGTATTAATTTTCTTAATTTAAGTATTATTTTTTTTTAGTTTCAGCTACTATATATTTTGGTATTGACAAGGAAAGCTGGTATATATATATTTTTTATATAGTTACAGGTAATGTGCAGTTATTATGTTAATGACATTTACTTCCCCCCCCCCCTTGGCACTACAGCTCCAGTGGGCCTAGGCCTACCTCCATAAACTTCTCCGTTCACTTCGATTTTTCTAGATCTTACACATTCGGTAGGACTCCTTGGGCGGGTGATCAGGTCGTCGCAAGGCCTCTACCTGTACACAAACACAGAAAAACGCACACAAACATCCATGCCCTGAGTGGGATTCGAACCCACGATCCCGGCTTCCGAGCGAGCGAAGACAGTGCACGCCTTAGACCGCTCGGCTACCGTAACCGGTGACGTTTACTTTACAACTACTAAATTCACGTAATGGCAACTTTTTAAACTTGTTGTAGACATATTCCTGAGGACACGCATATTGTGTTATGTTGTTTGTAAATTAGAATTTGGCCTATACGCTTAAAGAGAAATGTCAGAAGTTAATATCATAAGTATTTGTAGTTTCCAACAACGGGCATGGTATTGATGGCCTTCGTTCGCACAGTCTCTGTTTCGTAACCCACTTCCGTGGTTTTGTTTTACATCACCACCAGTCATTCGTCTCATTATAATCCTCCAGTTTATCGATTATCGAAGTAAAACGGTTTCAGCTGACAAACTTGGACAGGCTATCATTCCCATGATAGTACCTTTTGGAAAAGAAAGAGTACAGTTTGCTAACGTTGTGGTTGCACATTGTATAATATCCTGGAACGAAAATAGCTTGCAGTGTCAAGATGAAACCCCTAACCAGTAATACAATTGGTGTGTAGGCCTACATTGTATGCGACACCTCAGTAGCTGGTACATAAGAGACTAATGCCACGAATTAAAAATAAGATCGAGATCATTTAATCAGTGCGTGAAATTTTGTTCCGAAACGTCGACAAGACTTCACACTATATTGATCGCTGCTCATAATCATTTGAATTTAATTAATGAACAAGGTTCAGACAGGGAACAGTAGTTTCTTAAAATGTAAGAATGTATCACTTTTTGTTGAAATGGCCACGAGCAAGAATTCACGTGTCTTCATCATGTAACCATGTAGAAATGAACATTTTTTTATCAGTAATTTTCGTATTTTTACAGGTATATCGTTTGAAATGATGGAAGAATATATTCGAATTTTAAACAGTTATATTGCTTGTAACTCACCTTAGTTTTCTTATGACGCGAGTAGCGATGTAAAGTTACGAAATTCGTAAAGTCAACACTTTTCACAACCACTCGCAACCCACAATCTTTGTGAATTGACTGGCGAACTGTACGCTTGTTGGCTTTTATATATTCAAGCATCCTCCTCTCCGGCTGGGTAATATACGTCACATTGTACTACTTGTTCCGCAGACATCGATTGTGTAACGAGGTAAGGGGATTACCAGCAGTGAGTAACAGTCGCACTGGCTCTTAGATCGGCATTAACGAACGAGCATGAAGATGTCTATCAGTATTACATCTTAGCTGATCCCGAAGGTGTATACCATACGAAACCTTCGACCTCTGGATTGTTGGGATCGTGACTTACAATCGCATTCATAGCATGAAGTTTTGTTTCTTACTTTTTGTTGTGGTAGAGGCTTTACGATGGCCGTCTCCACCATCCAAGGAGTCTCTCCTATTGTCTTGATACGGACATACACATTTTCTAAAATATGTGGAAACATTCCAGTTTGGGTTAAAACTGGACAACAGTAACGGATCGTTGTGTATAGGCCTATATGTATTTTTTTTTCTTGCATCTCTAGCGGAAGTTGCTGGAACATTGGATTAAGCCCTTCTTACCGAGCACTACAAAGTCTTGTCGCTGAAACCAACAGTTCCGGGGAGAACTAAGCGCCTACTTTCCTTTCACTACAATTTAAATGTATGATGGGGAGTTAGTAAATAGGTCACAAATGAATATTAAACGTAAAACATGTTATATTCGAACCTGGGGAAAACATTTATTTCTTGACATATCCTCCACCAACTTTGATACACTTGTCCCATCACTACCAGTGCGTTGAAACTCGCAGCATAGCATTTTTTTGACTCTTGTCTCAGCCATTTCTGCGTCTCCTTTCCAACCTCTTCGTCATCAGCGAAACGTTTGCCACCAAGATGGGTTTCTAGCGGACCAACAGCTGGAAGTCGCTAGGGGCCAAGTCGGGGCTGTAAGGCGGATGTTCAAAAGTTCCCACTGTACGAGTACTTGAATTCTCTCCTGGGCTACTCGGGCTGTATGGGGTCTGGCATTGTCATGATGAAGTAGTACCACTCATGCCAGTTGACCTGGATGTTTTCTGCGAGTTGCAGAAAATATTAAAACTAAATTGGGAAATAAAACACAAAATTTAAACCAATCGACGCGTAAATATTAATAAAGATTTTAAATATAAAAATCGACAAGGCCGATTGACGACAGAGCAATGAACAAATGAAATCTGGAGTTTAAATGTTAATATTGAGTGCAGTGTGACAGCTACGTGAAGTGAAATACACCTGATGATGGCCGGTTGCGGCCGAAACATGTAGTGTGAAAGAAGGGGGACAAGAACTACAATAAAGTGTTACATTTACGACGGGGTTTATATTATACATATAGAAGTGCATCCTGAAGCTTCAACAGAACTTCACAGTACGATGCAGAATGCACATTTTCACCACGCTTTTGAAAATTGGCTAACAATACTCCCTGAGAATCCCAAGACACCATAAGCATAACCTTCCCAGCTAATGACGTAATCTTACACTTCGAGATTTTTGGTTGAAGGTGAACTGGGATTTTTCCTTTGCGCTGAACACGCTTTGATTCGGGTTGGCAATGATGCACCCACGATTCGTCCCCAGTAACAATCCCTTTAAGCATACTCTTTTGCGGTATCTGCATACCGTAACAGATGTTACAAAGGAAGACCCATTCGGTTAATTTTTTCTCGATCCTTCAGTTCTCTGGACACCCACCGTGAGCACATTTTCCGAAACTTCGGGCGATCATGCATTGTGCTGTATGCTAAACCATTGGAACGCCCTAGCATGGTTGCTGTACTGTATATCGTTGTCTTCCTGTCAGATCAAATCAACTCTTCCACCCGCTACATATTTGCTTCTTTTGCAATCTGAACAGGTCAATCTGGTCGAGCACCATCTTTGAATTTCGAAGGTCCTTGAGAGTATTTCTGGACGTAGTTGTGAACTGCTTTACACGACAAACAATTCACATCGTAAACAGGAAACTGTTATTAATATCCTTTGCATTGAGTCCTTTTGTCCACAGAAGCGCACAACGCTGCTCTTCGGTAGACCTCAAGCGCGGTCGCCATTTTGACTACTGAATCAAGCCTCTGAACATGCGCTTGCGCGTCCATTACCTAGACTGTCATGAAGCTGGACTGTGCTGCTACCTAGTGATACATACAGAATACCTATTATGCCCATTACAGCTGTTTTACTTCCATTTGTGGCCTGTTTACTGACTGTCCCTCGTAAGATATGACAGGCAGAAAGAAACTGCACTGTGTGTGTGCGTAATTAAGTCAACACAATATACACGTAATTTGAGAGGCTGCAGAGTTGTTACTGGTGCTAGGGATTTATGAAGTACGCTTTGAGATGACTTCGTATGGCGTGATATACGTACCAGGTTTCTTGAAGATTGGTAGAGGCGTTCAACTAATATGAAAATTTTGCCTCATGAATTCGAGAAGTTGTGATGTTGATATTACTGAAGGGAGGAATTTATGAAGTACGCCTTTGAGATGGGCTCAGGTGCATGATATATGTATTAAATTTCCTAAAGATTGGTTAAGACATTCAAAAGTTCTGTGGGGTTACACATACAGACACACAGACAGGAAGTAGGTTTCATAAGCCAACTTTTATTCACATAGGGAAATAAGCTGGATATGGTGGGATGGTATGGACTGGATCGATCTGGCTCAGGATAGGGACCAGTGGAGGACTCTTGTGAACACGGTAATGAACCTTCGGTTTTCATAAAATGCTGGGAAGTTCTTGAGTAGCTGCACAATTGGCGGCTCCTCAAGAAGGGCTCGGCTGCATGAGTGAATGAGTGAGTGAGTGAGTGAAGCAAAGTAAGCTAACAAGGGATGCAAAGTTGCAAGGAATGCATTTGGAAGCTGTCTATGCTTCAGAAGTAGGTCTCGCCATAGCTGTTTGAAATATCTACATGGGAGCAAAGCCGTAGGAGAGCTAACAGTCAGTCAGCTAGCTAGCCAAGGAAGTCCCCGCATTTTACGGAAGCTGAAGTTTCATCACCGCGTCCGCAAGACAACCATTTCCTGAGGTAGATGAATTTAGTACATACTCTTTCATCGTTTTTTTTAATATCCTCGTTTTGGAGCGATATTGAAATTGGTATGCACTCTCAGTAAAAGGTTAAAAAAAGATAAAGTTGTCCCTGTGCTTAACTAATTAATCACTATGCCATGAAGTCATATGAGGAAGTGGATGTGTAGATCCACGTTTTCTTGACCTCGGTACTAGATGGAGGTGAGTGGTCAGCTTCACACCCCTGCCGCTTTACCCCCGGTACCCATTGGATAAGGGGCCGTACACACTCAGTAGCTTCTAAATTTAAACGTAGTGTGAACAGAAATCTCGCTGCTCCATTATAAAGTATGTACGAAAATATATGTAATGGAACTTGTTTTTGCCACCTGTCGTTCCACTCAGATGCGGCCAACATTCAGGAAATTGTGTTTGAATTTCCCATTTTCTGTCTACAGTGACTTCACGCTAAACTGTTGTGTTCTGTTATTTCTGCCACACTGTTGAGCTTCTTGAAGCACTTTATTTTGTTTTATACCCTGTGACTACGGGATCGACTACGATGCATATGCCTACTTTATATTTAATCAGTGGGTTTATTCGCGAATGTGAGAAGGCGGTTTGTACTATGAATTTTAAGGAACGATCAGAATTACAAAATGCAGCATGACTTGAATAGCAGTGCGAGTTCATCGTTTAGTAGTTTAACTATTTGTGGCAGAGAAAGAGGATAAAGGGTGTTCAGCAGGTAGTGTGCGTGCTTGGGAGATGCGCATAAAGGTTTATATGGGTATTTCTAGCGACTGGTACAGAAAGATCGGTCATTTGAGTCCAACATAGCATTACTCGTACAATATGTAAGGAACCAGTATGAAATCCGAGATGGACAGGCGGCCAAGTTAAAGAACGTTGGTTGGTCATGTGGAAATAAATACCATTCTACCAGGTCCGTGAACGTCCAGTAACGACAGTCTGTTTACATTGGTGGCCAAACGTCACAGGTTTCACTGTAGTAGTGTGTTTCGCTCATGTTGTGACAGGACTGAGCACTGTAATTTGACTTTGATTATTGTATATAGATGATGTGGATTTTGAATATGTGCAGTCACAACTGCCATAAATGTTATATTAAACGCCGGGGTTGAGAGGGGTCGGGTTACTTTTCGAGTATTTTCTTTGCCCAAAATCGATGTTTTCTTTTAGAAGATAAGGAAACTTGTTCTTGTCTGAGATTGTTTTATTTTTGTTTGACAAAAAGAACCTGTAATGAATCCCACTGTTCGCGCTGTGATTGGTGGGGGAAAAAACGTACTGAGATTTGTTTCTAACGTGGCTACACGGTACACGACTGGGAAGTGTTCGAATTCTTCGCGCTTGGTGGGACTGTCCCAGTAGTAATGACGTCAAAAGGAAGTAGACCAAGCCTGCTTGGGGGATCCCCACAAGAACCGTAGATAGTTCCCATCAGTGTTGATGTTGCGGTGTATTGTTCTGTAAGTAGTGAATGCAGACCAGAAGGAATCTTGGCAGAAAGGCGATGTTCGGTCTGTAGTCTTACATGAAGTGTTCTCGGAGGAGCCGTTTCTCGTGCTTAAATATGTGAAGTCTGACAGAGAGAAATGAAGTGCAAGGACCCCCCCCAAAACCACGACACTGCTTTTATTTCGCATATACGATTAGCACTGTTGTTCTAAGAGCTGGTTTCCCTCGACCGCCAGGCGACTTACATCAAACGTTTGCAACTCTCTTACGCTCGTGCGGCAAAATTTTAACTACCCGTTCGCATGCTCGATTGTTATACACGCCGGTCTGCCCTCCAGAATTTAAAACAGGAACATATTTCTTCGTGTTGTGTGTATCTCTCCTTAATGGTGTCCGATGGGTCACACACGACGAATTCGAAGTTTTCGGCTTCGGTTCCACCGATCGTTGCGAACCGGCTCTAGGATACCTCTGGAATGACCTCTTTTCCCGTCCTTCA